TTATTTATTTTTCCTTTTATATTATGATTTCATTCCAAAAGTTTTTCTATGTTCTTAAATTAATGCAGAAAATGTTGAAGTATACAAAAATAAAAATAATTTTTCATATTAGTTTTTTACCTACTATAAGATTTTAGATTAAAGTTGATATTGCTATTATGTAGAGACATGGTAATTAATACCTTCTATCTTACTGTTGTTCACTGTTGCCAATATAATTTCAGAAACACAGGTCACTCTAATTTAATTGAAGACATTATATTATTATTTTAGGTGTGTTTAAGTCTTTTGTAATTTTTAACGTAGGGTAAATTCGGATGAGTTGGTCAAAGTGAGGAAAAGATAGTTTTTTTGTATAATTTCTTAAAACTTAGCACTGATTTTTAAATTTTATTGTTATTTCATGTGTGAATTTAAGAAAAAAAATTATAATTACAATTTTTTTTTGATTTTTATTTTTCCGAAAAATACATATACAGGGTGCTGAAAAAATTATGTATCAACTTGCTAAAAGGTGGTAGAGAAATGTTTACATATAAACAGAAAAATAATTAAAAAAATTATAACCATTCGTTATTGATAAAAACGTACCTACCCATACCTACAGGAGTTTCATAACTCGCGCTCCAGAAAAAATGCCAAGTAAGATACCAGAAACAAGAAAAAAATGTTTAAAAAATACGTCTGTAAAAAAATTTTGACGTTTATTTTTTGACATTTGACTTTTTTATGTTTGTTCTTGTATATTCATTTTTTTACATTTAGACAGTAGATATTGTCAAATCTGTAAACGGTGATTAGGTATATACAGATTGTCAACATAGTCAACAAGAAATTACCACGTAGGATTGGAACTTTTAGGAAAATTACGTTTTTCATGTTGTTTCTAACTAAAATTTTTAGAAGTAATTTTGAAATAGGGTTGGTTACCTCTTGTTGACGGTTGACGTTTTCTATCAACCTATTATTAATTTTCAGTTGAGTTATCTATACAAGCTGACAGGTGACTTAACCTAAATTTTTGACACTAGTTACGATATCTTTTGTTTGTCACCAGAAACCAACCTAACCAAATTTATGGCAACCTGTTTACGAATATCCCTAAATCTTAGGTAGTTATTTCTTGTTGATACGACAATACGTTGAAAAATAATTTTTAAAATAATTAGATACTGAAACTTGTTGCAAAAACATCTCTTATCCATTATTGATATATGAAACGATTACTTAAGGTAAAATATGAAAACTTGAGAAAATAATAGGTATATATAAATGAAAAAACTTAACAAAATAAGTTTGAAACTTCAGATTTTGTAAAATATGCATTCAAAAAATTTCCAACATTTTTTATGCTCCTCAACAATGTAAATACCACGAAGTCGGTCATTTTTGGGCGCCCTGTATATTATAGATGTGTTCATCTATCTTTGGTAATTGATTTATAAAATTACCCTATTTTATTGACCATAGGGAGTAAAAGTTAATTTTTAGTATAATTTTTTAAAACGTAGGATTAATTTGCAAGTTTGGTTTACGACTTGTGCTAATTTAAAAAAAAAATCTATAATTAAAACATTATTTCTTATAATTTGGTACAACTTTTCTCAAAATAATTGCTGTAAGTTTTGGCCAAATTATCTCATTTCTTATTCAAATGAAAGTAAAATGAATTTATTTTTCCGGTGAGAAATCGAATTATCATTCTTTACTTGAAAAATGTTTCATTTAATGATACATTTGATTTTTATTGACGGATATGACGTTTGGCGTCGCATTTTTTGTCTTGAAAAAATAGACAAAAATTTATTTGAAAAATAAATGCGTTATAAAACGAAGCTCGTCCCACACCGACACACACATGCCTTATACCTGCCTTGTGCCCACAATCGCACATCACAACACCACCCATCCCACCCATAACCTCTTCACTTGTCCCATGCGAAAGCTTCCCTCCAGCTCGCGAACTGAACTGGTAAGTTCGCGGTGGTTTATATGAATCCCGCCGTCAACATTGTTTTCTCTGGCGCGCGTCCGTCCTCTGGCGCTAAGGTACACAACACCGCCAATGCATTATGTTTGTGTTCATCCAACACAAAAATAAACTTGAGGCCATCCCGTGCCAATTTTCAGACTTTCAGGGGTACATGTTGACATTCAATTCCGACTTGGAGGGTGCTCTTTCGGCTTTCGCGGAAAAAAATCCGCTAGGGGCGTGCCGCGATGGAAGCCGCATCGATTTCGGGCGTTCCACGCACTCTCATTGGCCCCCACACGCGGGGCGTGGCGCCCCCTCCCACCTGCGCACGCCCATCGCTAATTCTCCAGCACCCCAACTGTTTTCACTAGTAACATCGTGTCTCGGCAAGAAGCAACATACTCTGTTTTTACTTAATCTTTGTGTAAACTGCCCCATGTTGTGTATCATAATATTAAGTGAACGCAAACTTGTTTTCGGAAGATTGATTGGAATGAAAACACAAAACGTACTATACTGTTGAAATAACAAGACTGTTTTCGTTTTAGAAAACTTTCGGTCTTTTGTCTTGTTTGTTGTTTTTGTCGGTTGTAAATATGCATACGATTTTTACCGAACATCAGAATGCGTATTATCGGCCCGGGGGCGGCTATAGCACCGCCGCCGCCGCTGTGACCGCCACCACAAACCCCTACGCGTACGAGCAGTACTCTCGGTATGGGTACGCCGCTTGGCACCACCAACAACACCAATTATCCACCGCCAAAGACATGGTCAAGCCCCCTTATTCCTACATCGCCCTCATCGCCATGGCCATCCAGAACGCCCCCGACAAGAAAATCACCCTCAACGGCATATACCAGTTCATAATGGAGCGTTTTCCCTACTACAGGGAGAACAAACAAGGCTGGCAAAACTCAATTAGGCACAATTTGAGTTTGAATGAGTGTTTCGTCAAGGTCCCACGCGACGACAAAAAGCCCGGAAAAGGCAGCTACTGGACTCTTGACCCGGATTCTTACAACATGTTCGATAATGGGTCCTACCTCCGCCGTAGGCGACGCTTCAAGAAAAAGGACGCGCTCCGGGAGAAGGAGGAGGCCATCAAACGGCAACAACTCGACTCCGGTGTGACCAAACGCGACGAGAAGCCCTTGGAAGAAGCCAAGAAGCTTGAATGTAAGCCCAAACGCGAGCCCACAGAGTTGAGTCAGTGCATGAGTTCGAAATACAGCGATGTCAAGTCGGTTATTGTGCACCAGGAGCACGTCATCAGCGAGGCGATGGCGATGGACTCGGCGGCGGCCTTCACCGTCGACTCGCTGATGACGACGAGGGAGCAGCATGGGTATGGCAACTCCGGGAGGTTGCACACCTCGGGAGGGATGTACTATTGTCCCAGTGCAACGCCGCAGCAATATATTGGGGATGAGGCCGCCCCCAGGTACAGTCCGTGGTATAGTCCGGAAACGTCCCCGGAGTCGGGCTACAGGGATATGATTTTTGACAGTAGTGCGGCTCCGAGCTGTCAATTGGCGGGGTTTAGACACTCCGGAGTCTCGCCAAGTCCGCCTAATTATAGAACAGCAGCGGCTTATTACCAACAGGACTGTGTGGGACAGAAATACTGAGGGTTAGCGTTTCATCTCAATATCAAGACTGATGTTTGAAGGTTTTGTGCGATTCCAAGAGAAGTGGAAATTTGAAGAAAAGTGGTTTGACATTGTTTTGGCAGCTGGTTTTTATTTATATGTGATATGTTGATAGTGTAATTTCGTTTTTTTGAAAATTTATATTTTTTTATTATTAGGAATGGTGTTTCTTTTTTTCTTGTATTATACTCATAGGTTCCTATAAAGATTTTAACCATTCCCCGATGAATTTGCGGCTTCGGTGAGGCATTTAGCAACTTTATAGAAAGTAATTACCTACGTGTCCGGTGTACATATTTATTTGTAAAATAATGTAGATGTATTATTATTACCCACTGTATGTGTTAAAAGCACGTATGTATATTATTTATTGACATTACAGAAATAAATCACATCTTTGTGAACATTACCTAATTTGGAGTTTTATTTTTTTATTTAAAATTATACAAAGTTACAAAAATAGGGTAAGTCCGGGAGAATTATAAAAAATTAAACTGTCAAAGACAAGTCGAGTTATGAGATATGTACTCTTAAAATTTCTGCACATTATTAATACCTAGTATATTATTATTACAATGTGAAGAAGATATGTTTTATAACCGAGATGCGTAGCATCGAGGGAAATAATAAATGCAAGATTTTAAAAATCTTTCATATTAAGCTTTATACAATACTTTTGTTACTATTAGCACATTTATTATCGAGAAATACAACGGGGAAAAATACAGGGTGCGCCAGAACTCGCGCCCCAGAGAAATATGCCATATAAGTTAAGATTCCCGGAACATGGAAAAAATGTTAAAAAAATTTATCTATAAAAATTTCAAAGTTATGTGGGTTTAAATTGTGCACTTTGGCTCTATTTATTTCTGTTGGAAAAATAATTTTCCAAGTTTTTTTGCTATAGGCTATTAAAAGAGGAAACAAGAAATCTGTATTCTAAATTGTAACTCTGTTCAATGTTATTTGTGGCTTTTATTGGCAAAATTTTTGTACCTTTACTAAATAATTGTAAAAAAACATATACAAGATCATCAGTATCATTAAATAGACATAAAAAAATGTCAAATGTCAAATTTTTTTGACAGATAGAATTTTTTAAACATTTTTTTCATGTTCCTGGTATCTTACCTTACTTGAAAATTTTCTCTGGGGCGCGAGTTCTGGCGCACCCTGTATACCCTTATTGGACATGTTATCCATTATACTCAATATTAAAATTTCATATTTTTTGCGAGATTTCGCTAAAACAAATCAAAAAGTTAACAAATTAAGACGAAAATTACATTATTTCTCAAGCGTCTTCGTATACGTTTTTAAGATAGAATCACAATTCTTTCGCAAAATTTTGTTAATAATAATAACCAGAATTCGCCCGAAAAGTCATTTTATGCCATACCGAGTCAAAAAATCACTAGATTGTTATAAAAAAGACTGTATTCTATTTTAACTAACTACGTTTATGTAAAAAAAATGTGAGTTTTCGACACCATTGGAAAAATTTAAATCGTAATCTTGTAATCGGGTGAAACTTTTTGAAACCTGATCTGGTGATTTTTTTTTTGAGCTGGCAAACTGCAATTAATAGTATATTATATCACAAGGTAGAGAAGAGATTTTTTTTTATATGCGAACAGTTTATTACCCGAGGTATGTAGCGTCGAGGGAAACAATAAATCCGAGGTTATACAAAATTTTTCTACCCTGTTTTATATAATATTTTTTTCACTACTAGCACTATTACCCAGCAATACAACGGTGAAAAATACAACCTTACTTAATAGGCAAGTTGCCTATTATATTAAATAAACTATAAAATTTCATATTTTTTGTGAAATTTCGCCAAAAACAAATCAAAAAGTCAACAAATCAAGTTACAAATTATATTATTTTTGCGTTTTAGCACAGAAACGCAATTATTTTGCAAAATCTTGTTAATACCTAGTAAGCCGAAAAAATACAGAATTCGCTGGAAAAGTTTGTCATTTTTGTCTGTTTCAAGAGTTTAAGCAAATTCTTAAGCTGAAAACCTTGTTTTTCCGCGAAATTATGCCATACCGAGTTAAAAAATCATTAAATTAGGCTTTAACCACTCTGTTTATCTAAAAAAAAAACCGTAAATTTTCGCCAACTTTGGAAAAAATTTAATCGTAATCTTGTAATTGGGTGAAAATTGGTGTTTTGGTAACTTTTTGAACTCGGATCTGGTGAATTTAATATTTTCAGGTGGCAAACTGCAATTAATAGTATATTATATTACAAGGTAGAGAACAGATTTTTTTTTATATCTTGAACTATTTATTACCCAGGTGTGTAGCATCGAGGGAAATAAAAAATGCTTGGCTATACAAAACTTCTCTGTCGTGTTTTATATAATATTTTTTTTACTACTAGCACATTTATTACTCAGAAATACAACCATGTTGCCTCAGACGTAACATGTCGTAATTCACAACTATTATTTGTTATTATTATTCTGTTAGTACTTGTGATGATAATAGTTACCCACCTCTAATCCATTATTGCCCTTGGTCAACAATGAAAATGGTTATTGGCTTCTAACTTCTCAACAAACTAAATAATTGGACATTTTACAACTAGTAGTGAAAAAAAATATTAGTCACTCTGTATTTTTTTTTTAATTTTTATTATGAGAATTCTCAAAGAAAGGGGTGCTAAATCTTGCCCAAGCATAAAATAACCCCTAGGCGATATCTAAAAATTATTCCAAGTCTTTTAGACCAGTTGGTAAAAACTGCTTAAGTTTTTGTTTTCAATAAAATATTTTTTGTAATTGGTAATTGCGTTGCAAGGAGACGTAAATCTCGGTTATCAATAACCTATTAAAAAGTAAAATCAGGGAAATAGCACAGACGGAGTTTAAGGTTTTAAGAAACAATAATATTATGTTTTGTATAATATGCATTGTATTATCCGAACATTACAGCGGGAGTCTTTAAGAAAGATAGCTATTTTATCAACGATTCCGCCTTGCCTTATTTCTGAAGCAGCGGCCCGGATTTCAGCTCACCCAGCCGGAGGAAAAACGAGCTTCCGACTTCGTAATTACAATTTTAAATTTTCCGTTATGGAATGAGAATAACTTTACTTAATAAAGATTTCATGAATTTTATTATGGTATTTCTGCTTTAATACGCAACAATTACATACCTAATTTTCTAACAAGACAACACACTTGCTTCAATTTTACGCTATTTTCCAAAAATATTGTGAGAATAAACAGCAGATTTGATGGACATGAGTTTAAAATTCTGTTAGTGCAAACGCCACTCACTTTGCAACAAAGTTTACCTATTAATGAAATCCACACAAATGAAACTTTACAAATTAATTTAAAGTAACTGAAACATATTTCTTGACATCTTTCAGGTCATTGTTTCTGAAAATTTTCAGCTGGGATTTATGACGAAACAGTTGAACAATGAAACATGATGTCAAAAATGAGACAATAAATTTATTGTCTGCACGTGCCAGAAATTCACGGTCACTATACGCTCTTGTAATGTGTAAATTTATTCATGTTCATTTTATCTTGCAAAGAGAAAATATAAACATGGGTGGGAGTTTTTACCACTTTTTTTCGAATGAAATAACCTCATAGTTAGTGTCTTGTTAAAATTGTTGAGCAAAATTAAAATCAAAAATACAAAAGAAAAGAAATTTAAGAAGAAGAAATAATAACAACAAAAAAAAACACTTTTTTAAAATATTTTCTTTTCTTACAAATGCTTACAAATACTTAAAAAAGTCACATTTATTAAAATTATTGGTAAAAAGGTAGGGTAATTCCGGGAAAAACCTGCTGTAAAATTTTATGATTTTGATTTCAATTCAAATGTTTCTCTTCATAGCATGAATTTTAAGAAAAAAATATTAAAATAAAAAAAAACATTTTTAAGCCCTAGAAGGCTTATATGTGTAACATCGAGGGAAATAATAAATGCGAGACTATAAAAATCTTCTCTACCGTGTTTTGTACAATATTTTTTCACTACTGGCACATTTATTATCCAGAAATTCAAACTCACTTAATGGGCATGTTGCCTTAACATGTCGTAATTCACAACAATTTTTTTGTTAATTTATTATTACCGACGGTAATTAATTACTAACCTGAGTTACTATACCAACCTAAGTTGGAAGTTTAAGCATTTTACGAGAGACCGTTAATTTAAAAAGAATGTGTACAACTAATTCCAATTCCAAAAAAAATCCACCAAAATTCCAGTAATTCCAATAATCCACCGCAATTCCGTTATTTTCAGATTAATTTCTATAATTCTAAATTAATTTCTGAAATTCCAACTTAATTTTTGTAATTATTTCCAAAATTACTTTTGTAATTACAATTTATTTTCCGTAATTCCAAATTAATTTTCGATTTCAAAATAATTCTAAAGAATTTAACATAATTGTCAAAAAATATTTCCGACTATTCAATTCATTTGGTACATTGGATAGTCAATCAAAGATTTTTTTATTCATGGTCATTACGCTGCGCACTCATGATGTTCATTCATTCATAAAAATATTCGACAATTCAGTGATTCCAAAAAAATGAAATAATTCCAGTACCTAATTCAAAAATAAATCCAGTAATTCCAAACAATCCAAAGATAGTTTTAATAATTCCAAATACTTCTAAATAATTCCAAATTTCAACTAAATTCCAGTAAAATGGAAAAAATGTTAAATTTTGCCTTACTAAGAAGTTTTTCAATATGAAACAACCCCATTTGTTGTTTTGACAGTTTTGACAAAGACAGAAGATTAGAGGTGGGGTGATTCTAATGTTTTGAATGAGGAAGTTTTAAGTTTTTTTGTTTCATTGCATTAATTTCATCTCTATAGGCTTCTCGTATTTTTACTTCTAATCCATTATTGCCCTTGGTCAATAATAAAAGTGATTATTGGCTACTACGAGACAAAAACAGCTTTACAATCTCTTGACAAACTACTTATATAATGATACTTTTTACAACTAGTAGTGCAAAAAATAAGTTTCTAGCTTCAGATTTTGTAAATAAGAAAGAATTTTTTCAACATTTTTCTTATAGTCTGCAACGTGCCACTTTTTCCATAAGATGTATTATACAGGGTGCTTCAGAAGTCGTGTCTCAGATAAAAATTCTAAGTAAAATAATATGCCACAAACATGAAAAAAATGTTAAATAAATCTTTTTACTTTGACTCTATTTCTGTTGGAAAAATATTTTTTTTGTATTTTTGTTATATTGGAAGAGGAAACTAAAGAAGCTGTATCTTGAATTGTAACTACAGGGTGAATATAAAGTAAGGTTGGTTACTCAATTGCCTAATACAGAAAATAATAATTAATATAAACCAAAG